ATCCAATGATTGTAAAATAGGAACTCATGACTTGTTGTCGCAAAATTTAATGATTTAAAGACACCACTTTTCTCACATAAATTAAAGAGAAAATTAAATTTTGGTAGAAAATGGTAGTTGGAAAAAAAAGGAAAAAAAAAAAAAATAGTCACAAATTTTAAAACTTAATTGTTAATAAGTAACCATTCAAGGATAATTTGGTAAAAAAACACATTTATTTATTAAATATTCTAAAAACAGTTTTAGATGACAAAATTGCTTAATTTATTACCCTCTCTTTTTCTCTTTCTCTTTCTCTTTCTCGTTCTATTTTTTTCCTTTTTTTTTTTTTAATTTGCAGCCTACCAATTAAAAATTAGGGCTTCTTTATTAACCTTATCATCGGTATTCTACTACCACTGATTTGTCATAATTAGTTTATTTGAATTGACATACTTTCATGTATGGTCGAGATATATATACCAATTAAAAATTAGGGTTTCTATATTAACCTTATCATGTTAGTTTTTAAAATTTGTGATTATTTATCTTTTCTTGATTTTAGGATTATTTTACAGCAATTTTGTTTAGATTTGATCACAAAATTTTAATTTTCCCTAAATTGAATTCGACAATCTCGGGATTCGGTCCTTAAATCACCACTCAAGATGAAATTATAATTCTCCTCCCAATAATCAAGCAACTTATTGTTTATATTATAAATTAGGAAACTAATAAATTTAAAGACTGTTTAAGAAAATTTATTAAAAGATACCAATTTAATTTTGAAGCATATTCTAACTAGACTTAGGGCATGGTTGTTAGAATTTTTTTTCTTTTTTTAATCAGTTGAGCTATAAAATTGTTGTTAGTAAAAAACATTTTAGTTATTTGCTGATACGTTATACAAAGTACTTTTCACAATTAAAGTACTTTTTAATTTGTTTGATTTTCTATTGTTAATTTTACAATAATGTTTTTTTTTAATTGAGTGTTACTATATTTGATATTACATGACTTTATAAAAGACCGGATGGAATTATCTTTATAAGAAATAAAAAAAATGAATAAAATTATTTTAAAAATAATAATTATAATCTAAAATATGAAACCTTTATTTAAAAATTGATAACTATTAAAAATACTTTTAATAATTATCAAACACATTTAAAATTAAAATTTGAAATAAAAATCTTTTTAAATGATTCAACAGCAAACTCAAATGAAGTCGAACACTATTTTTTAGAGCGTGAAGGGAGATTTGAACACGGGTCCCAGTGGAGGGTTCAAATTTAGAATTAAAGTAATATTCCAAGGCTCCACTTAGAATCAACGGATCAACTTAAAAGGAAAAAAGAGAAAGAAAAAAGTCTTCACAACTCATAAAAATTCAAAGACAAGTTATATAGTTGATAATATTGAATCATTGTTAGATTGAATCAAGTTTTCATGAGATGGCATGTTTTGAGTTTCTTTTAAAACTAAAAACTAAAAAAATTAATAAAAAAAGGCTGTACATAAATTATATAGTTAAATAAATGATTGAATAATTCATTTCACATTAGAGATGAGAAGAAAAAATATATTTTGTGAGGGAAAAAGATATTTGTCAATGAAAAAAAATAGACATCAACCGAGTCCTAAAAACAAATCATTGATTAGAACCTCAAACACAAACACATAGTTCAAAAGAGGAGCTTAATTAATAGCTTTTGCTGCTTTCTTTTTTCTTCCATAGCCAGCCCTAAAATGATCAAAAACAAAAAAGCAACTCAAATATATATTTTTTAAAGCGCTGATTTACTAAGGTTGGATCCATCACTCCACTCACATAAATTGAATTTTATTACTATGAAATTCGGTTCTTAAATCATTATTATATATAGGGGGAGGGGAAACTCAAATATGGCACACATGCTCCAGAAACTAAACCCCAACCAATTAAGTCACTCTAGACACAAAAATAAAAAAGAATAAGATTGTTGGAATGATTATCTTTTTCCTCAAGTACAATTTTTTTTTTTTTAATCCGAGATATCTGGAAAGATACGACCTCAACATTCTGACTAATTTTTAAGGACCCGAAAAGCTTCAACATTCTGATTAATTTCTAAGAATCCGAAAGGGCATCTCTCCACTCTAACCAAATAAATCACTATAAAAATAATAAAAACTAATCACAAACAACACTTGGAGAACCCAAAACCTAAACGTTGAATTCGCAAAACACCAAAATCTAACCGGCCAACCACTCCGTATCCTCGAGTACATTGTTACTAATCTTCATTGATAGAAAATGATGGAGTATGTACAATCTTGTCGTTGGGCAATTGAATAATGAAACGTCACTGTATAAAGTAAAAAAAAACTTCCATTTCAACGCACACAATAGCTGATAACATGCATTTAGTGGACACGTGTGGTGCAATGAGCACGTGAATACGGTGGATGGACCCCACTAGAAAGCCTCCGTTTGTGTCTGGTAGGTGGTAATAAATTTGCAGAAGAAATAACTTTAATTTTTATAATTATTTGGGCGGGTTGGACATTTACTTCTTCAACTTGTACAGTTGTACCGATTGATCGTAAATATTGGTGAGTGAAATTTAATTGCTTAATAGATACTACCTTCATATCATACATATTTAATGTAGAATATAATAATATATATGGATATGATTAAAAATTGTCAACTTATAAGATATTAACAAAAAAAATAGAAAACACAATAATTAAAAGATGTTATAATTTAAAAATTTGAATTTTAAAAAAGCAAGAACAGTAATTATTAATTACATTGAAAAATATTTCAAATTCGCAAGGAAATGCAAGAGTCAAACATAGATTTTGAGATACCATAAAATAAATTTGAAAATCATTAAAATACGAGAGAGATTTTTTTACCAAATTTCTTCATCTCTCTTAAAATAATTCTCTTCTTCTTAGCATGTTCTGAAAGAAAGTTAGTGTATATATATATATATATATATATATATTTAAACTTTCTTGAATTATGTTAACGTTTGATAATTAATGATCTAGCATATTTTAAATTTCAAAAAGCCAGTTGTGGAAATTTAAAAGGAAGACATGGATTAATTGAGAATCCTTTTTAAAAAGTTGGGGTAACACTTACTCCATTTCCAAACATAGAATGTAAAATAAATTAATTTTTTTCCTATGTTATGTCAAAAATAAAAAATAAAAATGTATGTATATATATTCAGGAAAATAAAAATTCAAATCAGATCATTATGTCAAAACTGACCTAAAATTTTACAAAAATGTATTTGATATGTATATGTGTATATATTGAGGAAAGGAAAAAAATTGTATATAAATAATATTTTGGTAAGTAAAATGTGTTGCAAAACTTGCAATATCAAAAATAAAAAATAAAAATGTATGTATATATATTCAAAAAAATCAAAATTATACACAGACATAGCAATTTTGACAAGGATCCAAAAAATAAGTTGGTCTCGCTATTGAATTATATTTCAGACTTGAATGGTGCGTATGTTATGTGTCGATAAACTTGCTTTAAAGAAAAAATATAATAAAATTGTGTATATAATTAATATTTTGGTAAGCAAAATGTGTTGCAATATCAAAAAATTAGAAAAAAATAAAAAGGGGAAAGAGCGGAGAGGACATGTAAATTTGGGTCCCATAAATAAATGATTCTCGTATGAATAAAAAATTTATAAAAAATCCCGAAAAATAAATACTAAAATCCTCAACCCATTTGTCATGACTCATGACTGATGAGGTGTACTACTAACTCAATCCCCATGAACCTCACCTGACTATGATTCTTCGTCTTTTTCTATCCTTTTCTCGTCACTTTTCCCATCACCCAAACAATCCACAAACTTCCTCTCTCAACAAACTTACTTTGACTTTCATTTGGCCTTTTTTAAATAATTTTTGTTTCGCTCCAATCATCACAATACCACAATATTCCACGGCCACAATGTCAGAGTCTCCGGCATTTCTCAGCTTGCCATAGTTATATATATATGTGTGTGTGTGAGAGAGAGTATGAAGTTTAGGGTTCTGTTTCAGATTACCTTCAATTCGCTCGAGCTGACAAGTTCAATCTAGATCGAAAAACATCTGGTTTTTCAGCGGAGGAAGAGGAGGTGTTTGGCGGCGAAGTTGCTTTCCGGCGGATCATCAATCAGAAAAACACAGATTTCCCGGTCGCAACGTCAGACTTTCCGTCAGTTGTCAACTGAGACATATACATACATACATATATGACTGATGAACAAACACAAGAGTGCATTGCTTTGGACCAACGTGGCCTTGAATTCGCATAATCGACGAGTTAGATCTAGACCGAACGACGACATTGCCGCTGAATAAGCCGGAGATTGCGTCCCGGAGAAGGAGGTTACAGTCGCATACGGTGGCGGAAACGAAAAGTTTACAGGTGAGAGATGGTGATGATATCTGTCAAACTTTAATTTTTCTGAAGGCGATTGTTTAATGGTTTAAAGTGGCCATTTATTAGTCTCTTACAGAGAGGTATACGTGTGTGTATCTATATATATAGAGGGGACCCTTATCTGCTTTCCGTACTCCTCCATTAATTTCAGTCTTCTGTCTAGAACGGTAATATTTTTACATGGTCGCTCTCTGAGAATTAGTTTAGTTAGATTCATCAATTCTCTATTTCTTCGTTACTGTGCAACGAGTTAGGCTTTATTATGCACGCATATATATGACTTTTTCTCTCATTTGATCTTCTTTTCACATTTCCATAGATCTATACGGGTTATTTTCCTCTTTTTTATTTGTTTTTTATTTTCTTCCAATTTGTCCACAAATTTTTATATTGAATTTGATAATTATTTGCTTAATTAATTTTGCAGTGGAATTATATGCCATTGGATACTATGAAGCAATGAGGAGAAAGCAGTTATTTTTGTTTATGGATCAAATAGGTATTGTAATTTTATTTTTGTATAAAATTACTTTCTTCTCTCTCTCTTTTATTTATTTTATTTATTTATTTTTCCAATGGTCCCTCTTGCACTAAATATTCTTTTTCAGGATTGTGATAATGTGAGGTGTTGGGATATGATTGAGATCTTTCTGGTTTGATCATTTTGATCTTTACCAACTTTACTTTGTATTATATGAGATTGTGTAGAGACCTGTTTGGGTAAACCCCTAGAGCCTAGAGACAAATGGGTTAGATCTGGTGAGAAGTAACAGACAAAAAAATATGATGGAATTGTTTCAAAAGGCGCCACTAATGGATTTGTTTTAAAAGTTGTGTTATATTGTAACTGTTAATGGTTTTTGGACTTTTTGAAAAGTAAAGTTTGACTTTCTCTATTCTTTTTCTTTTTCTATGCATAAAATAAAGGATTCCATTTGGTTAAATCCCAAAACCTTGCAAGGCCAATGGGTTAATCTGTATGTATACTGATGTATTTAGTCTAGTTTCCAGAACTTATTAGTTCCCTTTCGCTCACCCGTTTGCTTGTTTTTGTTTTGTTTGTGGCCGTGATCATTGCGTAGGGCCCATGCTAATCTTCTTAGTATTTGTATCGTTTCAATTTTATCTCATTTTCAGGGACAATCAGACAGTCTGAAACTTGGGCCCTGCCAACTTGCTTATAAGATTTTAGCTAGAACGAAATGAAGGTTTTAAAAAAAGGATCACAAAATACAGTGGACATTACAAGTGGATCTTATTCTGTTTGAAAATGGATTGATCCTAACTTTTCTTGCTCATCTGCAATTTATTCTCATTGCTTTGAAAACAAGCAGCACAAAATACAGTGAATATTACAAGTAGATCTTATTCTGTTTGAAAATGGATTGATCCAAACTTTTCTTGTTCATCTGCAATTTATTCTCATTGCTGCATCATTTTTTGTTAAGCATTGTTTCACTAGTTTAAATTATCGTTGTTTGATAATTTATTTAGTTCCATTTCGTTTTAATATTTGATATAGTGATCCAAGGGAGCAGCAATTGTCTTTCTTTATTTGTTTGAGTTTCAAGGTTATTCAACTAAAATTGGCTTCAGCTCCCATTTCTTTCTTATAATTTGCACTTGCTCCGTGTAGTTAATTATTTCTAGTGGCTTTGAATCAAAGGCATTTTTTCCACTATGAGCCTAGTGCTCCTCTCCTAATATGACATTAAGATTGTTGAGCAGATCTTCTTGGTGATTTTTTTGGCCAGTCAGATGATTCTTTGCTCTTTTTCTCTCAATTGTTGTATGAATCTCTTGTTTACAAACTTGGTCTTCAATAGTGATGCATTTCATCCTTGTTTACTGAAAGACGCTATTCATATAGGAATGTCAAAATTGTGCCCGAATTATCCATTTGTGAGAAACTACTGCTGTTACCTAATAAGTTTCAATGTTTCGATGTATGTGTTTTGCTTTTGTTTCACGAGCTGAAATTGGTTAATTCACTTTAACAACTTGGGACTCATATACTCGTTTGTTATTTCCTGTTTATAAAACATTTGCAGGTTGAATTTGGAATTGCATCTTGCTTTACTGTGTCATTCATTTTGATTAGCAAGGTCCCAGTGGGTCAGATCTGCCAACTGCCGGGGTAGTGGATGTTTGCTTTGCAGCTGCTAAGAATTCTTCTGGCCATCCCAACCCATTGAAACCATGAAGCGTGGTAGCATCACTATCTTTTCATTTATTATATATATATTTCCTGAGCTCCTATTATTAAAAAAACAGAGTGGCATTCCTCTCTAGATACACAAAGGAATTGAAAAATCCCATTTCCAAAAGCTAGCTTACAGCAATAAACGAAAGGAAAAGCCAGCAAAATAACAAGTTAACAATCATCAAAGACGCTGTTATCAGCATGTGAACATTCCCACCAGACCCTGTAAACACACCCCCAGAGTGTCAGCCACATTCCAAATTGTCCTGTCACCCTGTAATTGTTTCATTTATTTTGAGTGCTGCTGTTTCTGACATTCTTTATAATCCTTCTAAATAAGTCCCCTTCTCATATGACATGTCATTTCCATTGCCACTTAAATATATATATGCATGCTAAGGTTTGGGTAAACTACTGCTAATCTTTAGTAGTTGTAATATATTCTATGTGCTTCGCACTCACTTTCTGATAATCATGCATTCCTCATCATTTAGATGGATCAAGTGCCATTGTATCTTTATTGTTTGTATTTCGTCTTCAGTTACTGCCATGTCATATAAATTGTTAATTTAGTCATACTTTCTTGATTTTTATTTTTTTTATTTTTTTGATTTTATGTTTTATTTTTTTGTTTTTTGTTTTTTGTTTTCATTTCAAGATAGTACAGAATTTGAACTCTTTCTTTCTTTTTTAATTTTTTTTCCAGAGTTTCAAAATCAAGATGTAAATGTACCAGCAGATAGTGAACCATTGTTTTGTAATTCAACTCTAGTCTTTAAGACTGATTCTAAATCATTTGAGTACAACAACAGTGCTTTTGACACAGCTGGAGAAGAGGCAATCGTTAAGGAAAATCGGATTGGAATCTTGTGTGATCTAAAGGACAGTGAGAGCGATTCAGTTCCGTCAGCATCTAAGACTAATGATAGAGATAGATTTTCTAACCCTCCCAAACTTGAATGTTCTATGGTGGTTGACAATTTTACTGAAGGTGATGATATTGAGGCCAAAAATTCTGTCACACCCTCTTCCATTCCTTCTAGCAAATTAGAATCATTTGACAAGGATGCAGAATTTTACACCGATAAAAATGTTATGGAATGTGAATTGCCAGAATTGATAGTGTGTTACAAAGAGAGTTTTTATCATGTTGTGAAGGACATTTGCATTGATGAGGGAGTGATTTCACATGACAAAATTTTGATTAAGAGCGGTAAAGATGAGTGTAACAGTGATGACATCTTCCTACCTTCTGATAGAAATATAAAAGATAATAGTACCAAACGAGGAGTAGATACTGAGATGTTCATTCCAGATCGGTTGGAATCATCAAAAAAAGATTGCAACAAGGATGATACTAATGAATTTGTGACCGAAGAAAAAGTAGATATTGAACTTACTTCGCAGGACAAAATTTTAGATGAAAGCAGTAAAGACGAGCGTAAGAGTGGCTGCATCTTCATACCTTCAGATGGAGAGGAAAAATTCGGCATTACAAAACAGGGAGTAGATATTGAGTTGCTCATTTCAGATAGGTGGAAATCATCTGAAGAAGATTGCAAGAAAGATGCTACTAATGAATGTGGGACCAAAGAAAAGGAAGATATTGAATTGTTCATTCCAGATGGGTTACAATCTTCGTCAGAAAATCATTCTGACAAGTATACTGCTAAAGAATATGGTTTCAAGGATTTGATAGAGACAGATGAAGGTATTGACAATATAGTGGATGATCTCTTGAGAGAGGAGTGTGTAGGGAATAGCATGCTTTTGGTGCAAGAGTTCAACAGGCAGACATCCCTTAAATCTCTCCTCGAGTCTTCACATCATGGCGGCAATGAAGTCAAACGACCATCTGCTCAGGTTTGTACATACTATTTCTTGCTCCGATCCATGTATACGCGATGATATTCTCCAAGACTGCTTGTGAACCAAGTTTAAATTAGCATGGTGGTGACATAATTTCCTTTTAACTTTAGGCAATTTGTTCCATGTCATAATAAAAGCTGTAGAATCCAACACCAGGACTATGACAGAGTTCATTAGCTGCAATATTTTAACCAGCCAGTGGAATTATCTTTTTGAAGAGAAGTATCTGAAAAATCATACTATTGTTCTTAAGATAATGATTAATTGGCTAGCTACTATATTGCTGGTTCGCAAATACAAGAAACCAAAAATTGCCCTATGTTCCATACTTCTAATTAGAGGCCATATGGTTTTAGTATAAGAACATGTTCACCATCTTGCAGTAAGTGGCACCGAAATGTTCAGCCTGATATTGCCAAAAAAAATTGGTGTGGGTGTATGGAATTTGATATAAATATATTTTAATTGTTTGAATTGCAGATTCCATTTGTCGAAGGAATCTCGGAAAGCCCTGCTGTGGTATCTGCACCTGAAGAATCAAAGAAGAGTGACCCTGCTAAAGACTTAAGTTACAATAGCAAGGTGGAGAAAAGAACCATCACATTTGATTTCGACTCTTCTAAAGTTGTGGCTAGAAGCAAGGTCAAGAAAGAAAACGTTGGTTGTGAACACCAGCCGGAGTCACAAAATGTGCCTAAACATGTGGATGGACTTACTGGTAGTCTTTCAGTTGTAAGCCAAGTTCAACATTGTAATGGAGAATCAAGTTTCTCTGCAGCAGGTCCTGTATCAAATCGAATAAATTCCTCGGGGCATATACCATATTCGGGTAGCATCTCTGTTCGATCAGATAGCAGCGCAACAAGCACCCGATCCTTTGCCTTCCCCGTGTAAATATCTAGCAAACTTGTTGCCATTGTTGTTTTAGGTGTCCCTATTATATATATATATAGCCTAATAGTTCCATAACTTGTTTTTGGTGTTTTGGATTTACAGATTACAGTCTGAATGGAATTTCAGTCCGGTAAGAATGGCAAAAGCCGATCCAAGACGTCATCGAAAGCATGGAGGATGGAGGCAGGGCCTTCTTTGCTGTAGATTCTAAATGTTTTTTTCTTTCATAGTTTCTTGGTTTAAATATATAAATCACCACAATTTTACATTTATGGTCCATTATCAGAAATACAGATTTAGTTTTTTTTTCTTCTTCCCAAGGTTGGTGTGCCATGTGCAGTAGGTTTACCCTTTACAATGCTTTCGAGTTGTGCCATGAATTACGCTAACAATATCTTCTTCACCGACTTTACATTATTCAGAAATCAGAATGATGTATCTTCAGATTCATCACCACAATATTTCTACAGTCATTCACCAATCCAGTAACTTGAAAAGATATCATCAAAGGCTGTAGGTACTTTCTAGCTTTATAAAGTAGAATTTCAAAAGATGGATTCTCATATTTTCAACCACGAAAAAAAATAAAAGAATAGTTGTTATCATAGATTAGTATTTTGAAATAATTGCAAAAGTAGAGAACATAAAATATGAAGTTGGCAGCCTCCTCAGGCAAGGTACAATATAAAATAGCAAAGCCAAAGCATATTAATATACCCTTCAATAGATGATCTCAACTTCTAACCCTAATGATGAAAATTCAAGTGTTTAAGGAACAACTTGCTTGAAGAGGTCTTGTGCACTGAAGGATACAGAGTCAAGTGTGAATCCTTAGGAAGTAGATCCTTTTTATTGTTTAGGAAGCAGATCCTCTCTTATTTGAGAGAAGGTATTGGGTGTGCGTGTCGCATATCTATTTCTTATTTGAAGAGGCATATCTATTTCTTATTTGAAGGGGTCTGTATATCGAAGGATGTAGTTTTGGTGCACCTGTACTTATTTCTTGTTTGAAGAGGTCCTATACGCCGAAGGATGTAGTTTTGGTGCACCGGTCAGAACTCGGACGAGGGGAACCATCAAATTACATTGATATTTGGAACTAAGCTGGTTGTGCATTGAAAACGCTACCTACTTTTGAAGAACAAAATACTTGTACTTTAAGGGAGAGCAAGAACATTATTTGTTGACAAGTGACAACAATTAAGTACACATGATTATCAGAACTATCTTTATACTTGAATATTATAAGAGACCTCCTAACCCGAATCCTCTTGGATACATATGATGCAATTAAATTAAGAATGTAATGTCATGCATAAAACCCGACAGGTATGACCCATGTGTTCAACACTTATCTAAACACCATGCATTCCTTTCAGGTTCGTGCTTGCATTCTGTATGTATGTGCACAATAATAAAGTACAATCCAAAATTTTGTACCTAGGATCCGGATTCCACAGAGGAGAGGGTGAGCAGTCACTATCACTTTTCAGGAAGAAAAAAAAACAAACAATTATTATTATGATTATTTATTTTTAATAAACCAATTCACTTACACACAATCTCCATTAAGGTCTAAACTCATGCCTTTTTTTGGAAAATATGTGTCTGATACGCCTACATTGCTTAACCTTCGGTGTTGATAAGATATTTTGAACGTTGTAACACTTCTTAAAAGTAATAAAAGAAATGATATATAAGCGGTGTCCTTCAATTCAATCACAGAGTTATAATGGGGGTACATCACTTACTCGACTTGTGTATAAGAAATGAGTGTAATGATACAAAAATTGATCGATTTTTTTTGTGGGATTTTAATGAATAGACACTAACAAAAAATCTGTATATACGTACTACAATTATGGACCGCATGCTCATGGAAGTTAGACAATGAAGATGTTTTAAGAAGTCAAACAAGTGATAAATCTCTATAATGACAATTATAACTTAAAGATAACTACTAAGAAATTGAACACGCGACGATCAAATATAGAGTTATGGACAATCAAAAGATATAATTGCTTAGTAGAACACGTAACACTCAAAGAAGTACATGGAAAGTTATCAACAATTGAAAGATAGAATTTAAATAAGTTTTTTTTTTGTTTGTCATGCGTTTTGTTTTGGTGTTTTTATTTTTGCCAGGTACTGTAGCAATGAATAGTGAAAAAAACGCATTTGGTAAAAACTGTTTTGTTTTGCATAGTATCAAAACGTTTCGTGAATAGTGATAAAAAATCAAAACACCAATTTGATATTTTTATATGTTTCCACACTGTAACGTTTGGTATGTAGTAATGAACATTAAAATTTTTATAAAAAAAAAAAAAAAAACTCTTAAATGACATTCTTAAAACTTGCAACACTTTTTTATCAAATGTATTTTTATATTTTTGCTTTAAAAATTCTTGCAATAAATGGACGTTACTAAAAATACTTCTAATTACTGTTCAAAACACTATGAAACAAAACACTTATTTTATTTCGGGTTAAAATAAAACCCTAAAAATAAAACTCTTTCCAAACATGAGCCACGCTGTATAAACCTAAACACAATGGATGGGAGACCATTTTACTCTCATTTAAGGAAAGTGAGCTGTATCCAGATGGACCCTACCAAGGGAAGTGACAAGATCAGTTTAAAGTGTGTGAAGGCGCCCAAAAAGGAAGTACCATTTAATATAAATATGGAATTCCTGTCCTAGTTTTGGAACTCTGCATTTTGTGCTTTGTGTATGCTCTCTCTCTCTCTCTCTGAGCTTTGGGCTACTAGCTTCTCTTGATTTAAATTCCAACTTCAACCCACAAAAGAAATCATCTGAATGCTAGTTTTCTGAGCAACTCATGGAGCTGATACTCATCACAACACTCTGTATTGTCCTCTCAATTATGCCAACACCACATGCTTCTCACCAAATTCAGGTAGCATCATCCCATGAGGAAGGTAATGAGCTAGACTCTCTCTCTCTCTCTCTCTCTCTCTATATATATATATATATATATATATATATGTAGTAATATAGATTTAAATGTATATTTGTCTCATGATTTTATATCTATTTGCAATTTGTGCAGTCCAAAACATGCAGCTTCATCTTCCTAGGTTGACAAGGAAGCTCAGGCTCATTGACCAGTCAACTGTATGAATTTTTCTCTATGTCCCCATTTTTCTTCATAAGATAAAAAGATCAACTTAATTTTTAATCATTTTTCATTTCAGTTTCATTTGATTAACTTCATTTTACCTTCCTGGAATGCAGTTGAAAGGTTATGGAGGTAAAGAGTTTGTGTCATACAATAAACAAAAGGGAGCTTTATCAGGTGATCCTCTATAAGGCTAGTTTAATTGCTTATATTATTACTCAGAAACCCTAGCTCAAAAAGGTTCCATAACTTTTTCTTAATTTTTACATACATCTTTTTTAATATGGGCTGTCTAAGACCACAAACACAATATCAATCAATATTGTTGGTTTCAAAAGACATGGCCTAAGAGCTCCTGCAGGGTAGCTAAACTGCCCTTTCCACTAGGAGAGCCAAAATCTGGATAGGCTGGTGCGGATGCCCTAAGTTCTAGACTATATATATTTATAGACACACACACATGTTGTTGTCAACTAAATAAATGGATTTGTATGCTTTCAATTTTTCTAGATTATTATGGAATTGTTATTGAACCTTACAAACCTTGAACTCATGCTTTAGTCGCATCAAACACTTGAAAGATACCACTAGAAGGCATGAAAATATATTTACCGAAAAAAAAAAGAAAAAAAAAAAAAGGCATGAAAATATTGTAAAACATAATTGAGAACCTTTGTGCATGGAGGACAGTAATATCAATAATAATTGATTTCTAGTGTACCCTATTCTATATTTGCGTGCGTGTGTGTTGACCTACTAAGAGTACAGAGATTAACTTGAGCTTAACTACTACTATTAGTCTATTATAGTCTCTTACTATTGTGAAAGTACTATCCAGTGTACCATTTAGTAGCCAAAATGAGAGTGTGTGTGTGTTTTTTTTCCTTCATTAAACTATAAAATAATCTACAATCTTAAATTGAAACTAGAATATTAGGTACACAATTTTAAATAATAGAGATCCTTCCTTAATTCTTCAAGTTGCTTGATTTTTTATTAATTAGTTCATTCTTCTTCTGAGTTTTAAATTAATTTGACTTACATATATCATGTCCAGATAAACTATACCCCTATAAAGAAAGAGAGATGACGCATGCAAATAGAGGGACATGGCAAGAATTTGTGGAAAGGCCCGACATGTCACAATTCTTTACAATGGATTATTCCCGCGTGAGAAGACGACGTCCCATACATAACAAGTTCGTGCCGGTTGGTCCATGAAACCGGGAGATCAAAAAATTCCGATTCCAATTCTAAAGTACCAAACGAACTTTTTCAATACAATTTCGATAAATTAAACGAAGTGTGGATGATGTAATTAGGCAAATGAGGGAATGTGTAGCCTTCCATCCCCGTTGTGGCCGACACCATGGAACAAAACCCTAAATTTTGTTGTAAAATTAAGACCCTACTTATGCTTTTGAGTACGTACACTTTGTTTCATGGACATTTTTAGTATTGTTTCTTAGTTTTCGATGTGGTCAAATGGGGTCTCTAGCCCCAACATTTCGTAATCTGCTCTTGCAAAATTAAAACTATATTTGTATTAGGTGGAACACAACATTACGTGCTCGTTTGTTGTAAACAAGTGTGTTAATTGTATGATGTAAGTGGATGCCCACTATCCTTGATATATATAGTCAATACCATCTCATAAATCATGCTTGTATGTATGTGTATCACTAGACTTGGCAAAAATTGCTTGATCGAGGGAATTCCCACATGGTGCAATGAGTAAATAGACGAAAAAAGTGGGATCAAGATCCTCTTCATTGCTTTGTCCTCCGCTCCATATATAATGCATGATCAAGTAATTCATAACATTTCATTTTTGATTTGATTATAATTATTATTTTAATTTTTTAAAAAGTAATGTTATACAAATCGATTCGGCTTATGTTAACTCTCTAATCACAAGAAAGTGACGGGACTCACCACTCGCTCAAGAACTCACTACTCCCGTGTCAAAGAGACTCAAGTGTTGCCTACATAAGGCAGTAGTGTTCACCATCGTATAGTGTTTTGAACAAGGTGGTGCAGCATGGAGTAGAGAGAAAAAGTAACAGAAATAATTCTAATTCAAAATTTTCAATTAGTATTTTTTGAAAAAACTGGAAAGAGATTTTCAGAGATACCATTAAAAAAAACAAAAACACCAATTTATCAAATTTGGTAATTTTGAACTCAGTTCTCATAGTTCTGAATTTTTGGGCGGTTTTTAGTTTTCCAATAAATGGAGTCTACGTCCGTCCAAAGTTTGGACTACTCTATTAAAACCATGAAACTAGTTCAACCTAAAGACTACATCTATGAATTGTGATACATTGTACAAATGTGAGGCACATCTAACTCTTTCATGCGAGTTAAAATAAACTTTATCCATCTCCCACTCACTTAAAATAAAAAAAAAAAATCAAAATGAGATGTGCCCGAATTTCGAAATACTTATTATTTATCTATCTATATAAATGAAAATTAGTTAAAATGGGGAAATCAGTTTTCATTGCATATGGCTGGGCATAAAGTTATATCTATTTTCAATCATTTTTCCAACATCCCGCAATGGTTGCATTTGATTTTCACATCTTTTATTTTTTTGGGTAAAATACAGTCACACCCCTTAAATTTTGACAAAAGAAAATTCAGAGAAAACTTACCTGTTTTTTGGACAAAGACACCCCTTGAAGGTTCAAAAATGGACAAAGACACCTCTTTACATGAAAAATTGACCAAATTACCCTTTGACCGTTTAGGAGACTTTTTTAACTTTATAATTTAATAAATTGGACCAATCTACCTTCATGAACAATTTATGCATTAAAAAAAAAGTAAAGAAAAAAAAAAAACTTTATATTGTTCACTTTTTATTTATTTATTTTTATTTTATTTACTTTATAAATGTCCCAACTTCTTAAAAAAGTAGACATCTAAAATGATTTTTTGATCCAATACATATATTTCAAATAAATTATATTTTGTTATTACTTATTTTCTTTTTCTTTTTTATTTTTAAATTAAGATGCTTAATTCTTTCGTCTAAAAAAATTAAACCAATCTCTTTTCCTTAAAAATAAAAAATATGGTACCAGTATAACTTTATGCATCTTAAATTATATATCAAATATTATACATTTCCCAACATAGAAGGGAAGAAAAATAATAAAAAAACAAAGGGAAACAAAAAAAAAAAAAACAAAGGCATGCATAAAGTTATACTGGTACCTATTTTCCTTTATAAGAAGTTGGGACTTTTATAAAGTAAATAACAAAAAAAAAAAAAAAAAAAAAAAAAATCTTTTTTATTTTTTATTTTTTTTATGCATAAATTATTCATGAGGGTAGATTGGTCAAATTTATTAAATTGTAAAGTTAAAAAAATCTCCTAAACGGTTAAAGGGTAATTGGGTCAAATTTTCATGTAAATGGGTGTCTTTGTCAATTTTTGAACCTTCAGGGGGTGTCTTTGTCCAAAAAACAAGTAAGTTTCATCTGAGTGTTTTTTTACCAAACCTCAGGGGGTGTGAATATACTTTACCCTATTTTTTTTTAATATAATTGGGATGCCGGGCTTCCGCTTCCCACGAATCAAGTAAAGCCCGGACTATGTCCGTAAATATGACTCCTAAAGAATTGTTTGCACCTAAAAATAATCAATCCTGAAATCTGATACTCCTTCCGTCCCAAATTTAGTGTCGCCATTGGTTTCTGTGTCCTAAATTTAGTGTTGCCATTGGTTTCTATGACTCACAAGTAAATCTCGGATTATGTCCGTAAATATGACCCCTAAAGAATTGTTTGCACCTAGAAATAATCTCGGACTATGTCCGTAAAAATGACCCCTAAAGAATTGTTTGCACCTAGAAATAATCAATCCTAAAATTTGATACTCCCTCCGTCCCAAATTTAGTGTCGCCATTGGTTTCTGTGTCCCAAATTTAGTTTTGCCATTGGTTTCTGTGGCTCAAATGTGAGTCACAGAAACCAATGGTGACACTAAATTTGGGACGGAAGGAGTACTTCTTAAGATATCAGAGTCCAAATCTTTTTCAACTAGGCTAATCCCGTGGTGTTCATTCGGTTCTCATATCTTAGAGGAAACTGTATAAAAAAATGTAGGACTAATGACAACCCTTGCATTTATGCATGCATATGAGCGTATTGTGTTGCATGGTGTGGCTTACAAAGCGGAGGATTTCAAGTAATGCAGCATGTTGAGGAGACCAGACCATGGTTCAGCTTCAGGGCAAGGATTAAATTAGGGCAAAGCTCTTGCTAGTGAAGAACAACAGATGTTTTAGCAATAATATGCATGCAGTAGAGTCAATTCCTCGTTTGTTTACATTCAAATCTGTAGCAATGAAATAGTACCCTGATATGTACTTCTACAGGATTATGCAAGAGGTTCAATGTACAGGGATTGGGGGCTCGAAAATCTTTATTCCTCTTAGAGCATACTTTCCAAAACTATTCTGCTACGAAAAGGCTCATCTTTGAGGACTATTGTCTGGTTCAATGGTTTGACACTGAACATCAATGTCATTCGAACCTCATAGCGAGAGGTTATATTTGTGTGTCAGTCCTCCTTTCCGACTACAATCTTTTATGAGCGAGGAAGCTTGAAGTGCATATCGAATACCATGCAAACAAACAATTGTCTTCAAATCTATCGTCATTCAGAAGGAACCATACCGAAGAGATGCTGAAAGAATACAAACTTGTACAGGTCATTCGACAAATATTACATTGGGACTGTAATTTTTGAGCCAGAAAATCCACAAGAACCAAAAGGAAGTCAAGCCCGGATGTAGAAGATGCAGAAAATTTTAGCCATCCAGTCCCTTCCACATATTGGACCAGACGACAGCATAGATTTCAAGTGCAGAAAGTTATAAAAACGATGATAAGTTTGCTTCTCTTCAGGCGGGATGAGCTGTTTCAGGAAGTTGGAAACGTTTTCACATCTCTTTTTCCGTAGGTTACCACAGAACATTACATAATGTGGAAGATTTCTTACTTAACAAAACTTCTTTCTGCCACAATAAGGACTCTGCATCAGCTTGTTGAATATAGTACCAACACAAACACAAAAATCTCAATTAGTGAAACCAGTCAATATAGAAAACCATTTTTTTTTTCAAGAAAAAAAGGGATGAAGGCCTTCGATGTATATACTATTTATCATCAAAGCATGGGGCCAAAAATGAAGAAGCCTTTCAATGGATCTATTATCAATACAAGATGAAGAAGCCTTCCAATGTATTTATCATCAACCAAAGGTAATTCTTGTGCCACAAACGACACTGCAGGTAAGATACCTTATCCTGGATATATAGCTTTCCCAAAAACCAAACCGAACCTAAAGACTAGAAGCAGCAATTGCAACACAAAAATCCAGTTTCGCTGCCAGATTGAACACAAACCAACTTTTGGTATGCCTATCCCAATGAATAATTTCATGTCCAGAACTCCAGATACAGATGCTTCTCTTCATGCTTCAGCCAATTGATTATCCTTCCTACATAGGGTTCCAAAGAGTAAAATACTTGCAGACAATGTTCAGAGAACACATCCACTTGCCGAAAGAGGATATTAAGAATATAAAGAGCCATCAGCGGCAATAACATGAATGCAATGAACAACTTGAAAATCCAACATTAAAGTATTTTTTCAACATCAAGTTTTAATTCCGAACCCACTAACAGAAATAAAAAGAGACTGCACATGAAGAAAGATTCCACAGAATCGCAAAAAGAAGAAAAACGAAAATAAACAACTAAACAACCACCAAAAGATACAGCATGCACAATCAACTAGTTTTCAAACTGTGAGAAGATATAAAGCAGAGCAAAACTTAAAGACTCAGGGAAGCACCATACTAGTTTGATATCTTCACCCTCTTCTGAGCTTGATTGGAATCCTCACCATTATCCCTGAAATGTCCCACTGGCTGATGTGTAGAATGAGGATTCTCATGATCCTAAAAGGCAATAACAGGGAACTTAGTTCCACATTGGTTGTCTTTTTGAGAAGGCCAGTAATTGTTGAAAACTTGACATGGTTAAAAATGGCAATAGCAACAGAAAAAGAAAGTCACCATCCAACAAAATAAATTCACATAACAGCAACAATGAAACATCCGCAGTCTAAAACCATCCTTTTGCAATGTGATTTTTCTGTAGTGGGGTTGAGAAGAAAATGCTTTTTACCTTAGCAATGGATATCCCAGAGGTCATTTGTCTACTAGCTTGCTTTCCAAGACCAATCTGCACTGAGATAGTGGCTTGTGACAGGTCCAAACCCGAACTCTGCAGTGCTTGTGTCAGAGAATTCAATAACCTGATTGACACCAAAATGCCCTTTAGTCTCAGCTTATAATTTAACATTTGGAGGAAATGAAGAAAAGACATGCTAGTTGACATCAGTAAAAGAAATTTGACTTTGGAATAGAAGTACCAGACTGATCAGTCTGATCTTAAAACATTTCAGAGGAAACCTAATCAAGGGTGGAGGGTACAGTTTCCATCTCTGGTAATGAAAAAAAGAAGTTACTAAGAACCTCCTATAAATAATGCCCAACAACTTGAAGTTGCAATTACGGTAGTCACAAAAGTTCATTCTTAACAATTATAAAAAATAAAAACAAAATCAAAAAGTTCATTCTTAATGCAATTTAACTCAATATAACCCCTACTTTTACGATCAAAAGGCAGCAGTTGGCTAAGCCTTCCAATTATGTCCCAAAAGGTTTTAAAACTATTAATAAAATGTTAACCACAAATGCCCAGGCACCAGAGAGGATATACAAACTCCACAGGCTTTCAACATTTTATTGAACAATTATGGATCAAAATACAAATCACGCTCTAAAGAGCTTTGTAGAATATTCAAACTGATTCCAAATTTCTTCATGACTCTGTCGCACAGATGGCAGACTAACAACCCCTCTTCTCTCTCCTTGTTTTCAGGGTAGATGCACTGCTCCGACCCAAAACCAACACAATCCTCGCCAGCCAAAATACCAAACAGTTTAGTGAAGACGGGGAAGGCTCGTAGACTTCCCAAAATTGGCTAGTAAATTTTTAGATAACTCAAAGGCAAAGCAATTAAAAGGAGAAAACAAGACAAGCTTCTTTAAACTACAATAGATTACCATGAAACAGCATGCCATGGCCATAGAATCATTACAAGTATAACAACAATGCCCAAAGATTAAAGCAAATGGTGAATACTAAGTCAAAAGGGAAAGCCAACATGAATATACCCAATAAAGATCATTATAGTAAGACAATGAAGGTCAGCCATATATACTTCCCAAACTGAAGCCTTCTAGATTTCAAGAAGCATGTAAACAAACCAGAATTTACTGAGTTTTACGATTACTCACCCTTGAGAGTAAACGCTAGAGATGTTAATTGTGCCCCCTTCAATCATCAGTTCCTCCTGTTGATTCAGTGCATCACTAGTGGTGGGGCACTCAGTTAATTGTGCATCAGAGACTGGTCTCTGAAGAGGATGGGCGAGTATGCCATCACCTTGGACAGAAGTGGATATACTTGCCTGCAATGGCATAGGCATCGCTATTGCCTTGTTTGCCATGCCAGATTGCTGATCCATTGCTTTGCAGGAGGCATCCCTGTTAGAGTTTAATTCGATTGGATTCTGTGCATCTGTGTGCATGGCTGAGCCGATAGTCATGTTATTCTCATCAAACCTCCCGGTAAATGTTGAACCTAGACCAGAACCATTCTTTATGGCTTGAGGATGACCAACAAAACTCTGAACACGCCAATGATTGTTTCTCTGCTTCAAGCAAAAGAAAACAAATGAAGAGATAGCCAACCAATATGTTACGTAAGGGATATTTCAGAAAAGAACCAAAAATATCCATATTCAATTGACATGCCCCATTTTGGAGATATTCCCCCTAATCCACTTCACTGGAAAACATCTGATTGAGGCAGTTTATATTCAGTTATTCACTGATAACTAACATGCCCCATCTCCATTCAAAAAGAGGGGAAGAGAAATAAGGGTATGTACTTGCCCCCCACCCCAAAAAAAAAAAAAAAATGAAGAAGAAATATAGGTATGTGGTGTGGGGTAGGTTGTGCGGGGGAGGAGTAAAAGCACCAGCCCCTCTAACCCCAAAGAAACCCAAAACAAGCCCACAAGAACATTACAAATCATGACATCAACAACAAATATCAAGCATGACAGAAAAATGATCCATCGGAAACATTAAACCAAACATAAACACATGAAATAGAATAAAGTAATTTTGAAAGCTCATAGAACTTAGCTCAAGGAGAGGAGGTCTAAATCATATATAAATTTAAAGGTAAACTACCCTCACCTCCCTTGAGGTTTGCCACTTGCACCCACGGATGAAACTATCACAAAAAATTACTCTAATATCCCAGTCAGAGTTAGAAGCTTTAACCTCCGGAAACGGCATATGCGAAATGAAAAAGTTAATATAACAAAAAAGAAAATGACCATTATATCCCCCCCGCCCCCCCTTCCTTATTTTTTCTTTCTACCTTTCTCTTTTCTCTCAATAAAATTTCTCAGGTTCTCTCTCTCTCTCTCTCTAAGAAATTATATGAGCTTTCAACCCCTTCACCAGACCACCAAAACGATCCCTTACCATCCATGTATTCCTCTTTCTTCTCCCTCCTCCAACCCCAGGCCCCAATCTCTCTTTGTTCATTCTTGTTACCATTGTCTCAGTTCCCTCTCATTCTCTCTCTAGTCTCTGCCATTCGTTTGTCAACACTTCCCACTATTAATTGTTTATGGCAATCTTTACAGCAAGATGACTAAGACATCAGACCTCATCTCTGGCAACTGGTTCTCAACGGCGATTGGCGATGGAGATATTGGTATAGCCATCGTAATAGCAGATGGGTCCGCGAAAGGAGGAGTCAGGTGATACAATGTTTCACTCCCTTTCCCGTTGCAATAATAAAGCCCAAATCTTTGCTGTTGTGAATGACACCGAGGAAGACAAACCCAAACTGTACTCTCATTCTCCCAGAAAATTCAATGGAGCCACCAATGGATGCATCATTATCGTATATGATTCTGCACCTCAATCACAATGGCTTCGTATTATTCCACCTCAAAAATGCATGTTCTGGTGTCGATCCGGCAGTTGATGGTCCTCACCACCCTTAACAATATATACATATAGATATATACACACACGCCAATGGAGTAAGAACTGTGATACAGTCCAATACTATATGTATCTATGTATAATCTGTATGGAAGTTGGGGAGAGAGTAAAGTTTGAAAAGGCAAGAGAGAGATGGGGAGAGATAAGATAGGGGAAGATGGACAGAATATGGGGGAGAGATTAAAGAGGAAGACAAGGAATGAGAATGAAAGTTTTCGAGAGAGAAAGAGGAGGTCTGATGGAGGGAAAGGAGATAAGACAGAGAGTGATGGTGGCAGTGGTGATCGGAGATAAAGAGGGAGAGAAACCAGATGTAGTAGAACAAAGAAGGAGGAATAGAGGAGAGAATGGCCCATCTTTGTCGTACCACATAAGGTTAAATTTGTCATTCAAAAGGATTTGTAGGGATAGCTCCGTAATTTTACTTCAAAAAAGGGCAACCTCTGTATTAAATGCAATTCATTTTTTTCTTCTTTGGACAGCCTTAATGGAGTTTTAAAAGCTTCAACCCACTTGTATTTTTGTCCAAATTTCAGGAGAGGTTGACCATAATTTTGACGAAAGTTTAGTACATGGGTTCACTAAAATCATGTACCAAATTAAACAAGGTAAAATTGATAACGCAACTAAAGTGAACATCAAATATAATCCTCTACTTTGCCTTTGAAAATTGTGAAGTCTGGTGCAACTTGTAGAGATTAAAAGATTAAAGCTATGACAGGCACTATTGCATTGTGTCATTGCTTAACAATGATATAGTCTGCAAATGCATAAAAAATTATCCAAATTACGAGTGCCAAGAAAAATATTTTGCTTATAAGTAATCTGCATGCATGCATGTCAAAACTGATACTTGAACCCTACATCTCTCACCACAATAAGAGACACCACCTTGAGATAAAAGCTGATGGTATAATTTTTCAAAATATTTTTAAAGTGTTCATGCTTGAGCTCCTTCTTTTAAGAATTGTGAACATTTGCAAATTTTAGTCGCAGAATTTAGACATGAATTATTGGCCCTGCCCGGAAACAAACATTTTCCTAAAACTAAAAAATGAAAATAAATAAATAAATCCATAAAACTATTCTTGTCATGGGATACCAGAGGTCTAGAGTTATAAATATTTATAAACCAAACAATTATATTGTCAATCAAAATTCACATAAAGGTTCCTCACTCACGTATAATTATATATAAATGCATAATGTTGGGTTGAGAGGTTCAAATTATGTGTCTCATATGCATGGGAATCCCAGCCTAGCATGTAAGTTTTTGTGAGGTCTAAAATGTGTGGATCAATTCATTCATGATACATATTTGTGCTCGACAGCTGCAAATGAGCATTCACCCACACAAAACCAAGCAAGTGAACCTTAAAAGTAGGCCATCTATACTGGTCTACCTTTGTCTTGGTGGCTTTGGGTCTTAAATTTCAAGCTCCAAGTCAAGGTTTCGAGGGTGGTAGAGAGAAGAAAGAAAAAAGAGTACGCCATCTATCAAAACTTTACCCATGGCATCAACTTTGTGGGTTCTGGGCTCCACCCTTGGTATGATCCCTCATACTTCTGTACCTTTTCTTGTAAGAAATGGACATAATCAATCACCTGCATTCGTAAAATGATAATCAACCAACAATTTTTCAGTACAGAAATTATGAACTATTAATAATATATATGTGTTATTATGTACTTCTGCATTAAAGGACATACCTCCAATAGAAATGATGCTGTATCTCTCTTTTGATCACTATGGGGTATTAGATCTCTCAATATCTGAAATCTGAATGGAAAAAATAAAGGACCATCAAATTTTCTCATAACTTTTAAGAATTAAATCATCGCATTTGAACATCTCAAGACCTTTCCCAAATCCAACTTAAACTAGAGACAACCCTAACCATAGTATTTAATTAGTGTTCATCAACTTTCAAATGCATGTAACCACTAATTAACTGAATGTAATTTTATGGTTACCTTATGGCAAATGGTTAAATTTTACCTCGGAAAGAAGATAACTATGCAAACTTCCCAAATAGTACTATTTTCCCAATACTTTCATGGTATACCAATTCAACATTTTTTTCAAGCTACTAAAGCTTCAGCAGCGTTATAAAGATGAAATCACAAGAGGCAAAGCATTAATCAAAATCAATGGATGCCCAACAATTATTACAATATAACATTGAAACTAATCATCTCAGTAACACCGTTTTAATACCTACATTAATCACATGAAGTATCATAATTAGATGATGAGACCATATTTAAGAAACAATATACCTATAATATTGGACTCAAAACTTCTTAGGGCCTGTAATCAAATTCGAATTAGGTGAATCCATCTCAAGAATTCAACAACTAACATTGCTTCAAGTTGACCATGAAATCAAATGCCAGACCAAAAATGTTAATATGACCAAGTTCCAAGGTTTTAAAAGCAAAATATGTAAATTTGGAGAACTTTTGAAGATAATGGTAAACAAGCTCTTCACCAAAGTTCATATCCTCCCTTACAACCTATTTTGACTAGTATTGTGACGTCCCACATCGCCTAGGGGGAGAGGTTGTTGACACTTAATGTGTGGACGTCTCCTAACTGTGTACATGTGTTTTGAAAAGAAAAAAAAAAAAAAATCTGTGAGCACAGAGAGTGACCAAAGCAGACAGTATCTACACAGCGAGGCATGACAAGTATAAGAGCTTACTTTCAGTTTCAATGCTAGACAAGGCAAGAGATATTTATAAAAAAAAAAAAAAAAAAAAAGAGAAAAAACAAGCCAAGGGATAGTTGCTAAAGTAATTTGAATTACTTAATTTCAGCCGATTTTGACAACATTACTATGGCAGGAGCATAATTAAATTGTTTATACCAAGTGTTCCAAAGTCATGTTTAAACTACCATTTATACATAATACCATCACGTGGCTTCATCATATAAATGATCCAATGTGTCTTACCTAAGCTGTTATACTGCCAAAAGTTCATTAGTAATACATAATACAAACAATCTAACAAGGCTCCCTTACATTTATGCTGCAGAAAAATTGCTAAATTCACTTAATTAGTGAACATGGAAGTTAGTTTCATAAACTCACTGATTACAATATATGAAATCATAGTCATGTTTAAACTAAAATTATACACAATACTCTCATGTGGCTTCGTCATATAATTTATCCAATGTGTCCTACCTAAGCTGTTATGCCGCCAAAAGTTCATTAGTAATACATAGCACAAACAATCTAGCAAGGCTCCCTAACATTTATGCTACAGAAATGTTGCTAAAATCACTTAATTAGCGAACATGGAAGTGACAAATTGAGAAAACATATTCCATAAACTTACTAATTACAATATATGCTATCATAACACAAAGGAAAATTGCCACCACAATTTACAATTGCTGAAGGTCGATAACTTTCACATAGCTTGAAGACGGTTAACTAAGTTAATATTTTGACCTCAAGTTCAATATAAACTTATGGGACAGCGGTTTTTAATTTCAATTTTTAATCATGACATTCAAATAAAATATAGTCTTCACTTGTGTAGAAGAATTGGAAATTTCTTGCATATGCCATTAAATCCAACCTTGAACATTTGCATCTAAGGCCAACAATTACATCTAAAGCAATACCCTTTATTATGGTTCTTAAAAAATTAATAAAGAAATATATCTTATTTATACAAGACTAAGTTTGACCAATCGGGCAAAGGGCACTAGTCCACAAAATTGATTATAACAATAAAGATTATAAATTTCTGAATTAGTAGTACGAACAACGTGTTAACGAAATTTATACAGATTTCTATGTTTATATATATTCACATATGTCAGAAATACAACAGAATTGATATCAATTGTGAATGAAACATGCCTCTCATTGATCTTGCTCCTTCTGCGCTGTTCTGTCACCGAATGTTTTGATCTTATTGCACTAGCCTTCTCATTGTTCTTCCCGTCTGCTTCCACAGTCAAACCAAAATTCAGAATACTCACAACACACAATTATAAGCTAAAAATGAAACTGGCAATCATAAAGAAATGGTAGAAAAACTCCCTAAATTTAGCCCTAATGAAAGAGGGTCATGCCACTATGCTGAGCTTCAACCAAACACACACTTACACAAATACATATACAAACATTTAGATTCATATAAACAATACCCACATATATATGTACCTCTGTTGTGATTGGAAGAAGGGGCGTCTTTTTTGGTGATGAACTCTTCATCGTCCTCTTCTTCCTCTTCTTCTTGATTACCTTTCACCGATTTCATCGTCTTCTTGGTGGTCTGATTCTTCTGCTTTGAGATCCTGTATGAATTCACCCAAAATCCCTAAGAGTTAGGTGATGAACAAAGACGATTACACAGAAATTTTGAAATAAAAAAGATCCGTGATGACCCAATACATTAAAAAGAATTAAAGGAGAGAGAGAAACTTGAAGAAAGAAAGTCAAAAGGGAATGTAACTTGAGTGAGTTTTGGAGTTGATGATGCGACACTTTGATTATTGGGTTAGGTCTGTAATTGGACCCTCCGGTGACCACCGCACTAACTACTCCACCGCCGGAGTGTGTATATATATATATATATATATATATATATATATTATATGTACATGTATATAATGATATAGGGATATATACACACAGTCATACCACATTACATTCGGGGAAAAAAAAATACCACATTACATATTGTGTTATGTATGATAATTGAGCATACTGCCTAAAATGCCCTCATTAATCACGTGATTTAATTCAATAAGGCGAGGGAAGTTTGAATGAGGACACCCTCACGAGCTTCTCATGAACTTTATGAGTAATAAAAAACTAAAATAAAAAAATTCCAAAAAAAAGGAAAACCGAATTTGTATTATTTCTCCATTTTTTGTATAAAAAAAATATGAATTTAATTTATAATAATAACGTGGTACAGAGTACAAAAAATTGCATAAATGATATGCGAAATAATTCTAAATTACAAGAAATTAAATAAGGAAGTATCTATGTGGATTATTTGATATTGTGTAAGTTATTTTTTAAATCAAGACTCAATTTTTTCATACTTAGTTGTAGGAATTATTTATATGTGTTTTTCAAATTCTTAGTTTTTATTTTCAAACTAATCTTACAAATATTGAAATCGATTTTTTTGTAATTTAATTTTTATTTCCTTGTTAGAAAAGGTTACAGGAAAATAAAGTCACTGAGAGTCACTTTAAAAAACGAAAAAAACATATAAGTTTAAAGATATAACTTTCTCATCCTCAGATAGGGAAGTGGTTGGAGCTCGGTAATGGAAAAAAAGTGCGTGAGTGGTAATGTATGTTTCTTGTCAACGTAAAAAAAAAATAATAATAATAAAGTCTAACCTTAAAATAATTCTCTTAATAATTATTTTCATTAATAGAGAAAGAGATAAATTAAGATTAATTACAAGAAAAATACTAGATTACATGGATCTTACTTTATCTATTTCTATATTTTGTGCGGAATTTTGATGTTCTTATTTAAAAAAACTATCCACATAATCATTTCAAAATGTTGTTTAATTACTTCTATATTTATATCACACTGTTATCATATCAGAATGTATATAGTATAAATATAGCATTATAAAATTAATGATAGGCCAATAAAGGAGATGCACATAATATTATGTTGTCATAAAATCTTTACAATCTTCCTAAGTTTAGGTTCCAACCAACTCTTTGAATTAAAATACCTCAATCAATATATTTTTAAGTCACTATAGCTTTTTAATAAATAAAGATTTAATCTTTGAAAGAAAATGAAAGTTTTGAGTTAAACTTATTTGAGTTATCTTTGAAGTCAAGAAGAGTGTTTTAATGAGTAAAAAGTGAGTCTTTGAATAAAATATCTCAATCAAGGTACCTTTGAAGTCACGAGAGCGCTTTAATGTATAAAAATTGAATCTATAAAAAAAAAAGAGAGAGTTTTAAGTTAAACTTATTCAAATTTCCTTTAAAGTCACGAAGAGTGTTTTAACGTGTAAAAATTGAATCTTTTAATGAAAATGCCTCAATCAATGTAACTTTGAAGCCACTAGATCATTTTAATGTATAAAAATTGAATTTTTGAAAGAAAATGAAACGAGAGCGTTTTAACGTTGAAAGACTAATACTCGTTCCAAAATGGACTAAATATCACCACTCACATGTTATTCTTGTGGCTCAAGATGTATTCAACAAAATTTCATCGTTTGGACACATACAACGCCAAATTTACATGCCAACGAGAATACCATTTCTTTCTGGCCAATCTTTTAGCCAACGGTGATGAATTTTACGGGGAAGTTTATCCGATAGTTAGACCGTTTTAATGTAAAAAGATTGAATCTTTGAAAGAAAATAAGAGTTTTGAGTTAAACTTATTCAAGTTTCCTTTGAAGTCACAACAATTGTTTTAACAAGTAAAGATTGAATTTCTGAATAAAAATACATCAATCAAAACTTTCATTTTCTTTTAAAATTCATTTTTTATACATTAAAACGGTCTAGCGACTTAAAAGGTACCTTAATTGAGGGTGCCCCAATTTTCCACCCCCCTTCCCCAGGCTCTAGTATTCTCTACACTTTCATAGACAAGATTCACTAAATCTTCTCCCATAAACTCAAATATACCCACATATATGTATATGATATAATATTTTGATTGAAGAAATTAAGAAGTTTTTAACATAAAGGAAATGTAACGTCTCGAGGCCTGTTTAAGTATTTTTCTCAAGCCAAGAGTTTTAGAAATATTTTTTTTTTTAATTATTTTAAGCCAATTGCTAGTGACAGGATTATTTTTTTTAATTTGTCAATGTCAAGACAACTTCTGGGCAATGAAATTTCTCCTAGTTTTGCATATTGTATTAAAGGGCATTGTAGACATTTTTCATGCATATACATATTCATGTATCTATATATTAGGTAGATATTTTGTGGAATATGGGTGGAATGAATTGTTTAAGTGAGGGGCAAGAGAGTAACTTTGCCTAATAAGAGAATCACCCAATGTTTGACAAGTGGCACATTATAGGCCATAGAAAAGAATGCAAGAGAAAGCCACCTCCCCCTTTCTTCCCCATTTTCGGCCAACACTTCATCTTCTTCTATCTTCTTTCTCTATATTTATACATCTATATACATATATGCCTCCATTATTTCAAACTTTGGTTTGAAGAGGTTGTAGTGAGATTTTGAATGTGACCAAGAAGGGAAAGTTAGAGAGCTTAGAGAGAGCTTTCATTTTAGACCATTATTGCTAGGGTTTGGAGGATTTCAAATTTTGGGCTAGCTTAAGGGCTTGTTTGGCTAAGCACACTTGAGGTAGGGGTTTTCTCTAAGATCTTGGACAGGTTTTGGGTTGATTGTGAATGGGCGGGACAGTAACGGGTCATTAGCCCATTATCGACCCATTATGGTGGGTTAAAAATGGGTTGGGTGTTAAATGGGTTGAGCCAAACCCACACCCAACCCAATTACTGTAATACCCCTAATTTTTAAAAGGATAAGATTGGAATTTAAATTTTATTCTATGTGCAATTTTAATTTGACTTTCTGGCTAAGTACTTATGTGTCAAATTGTTTATTTGAGTAGTGGTTTATTTTAATTAATTGTTTTATTTAAATGGATTGTTTTATTTAAATTGTGTTGATTTGAATTAATTGATTATTTATTTACATTTGTTAATTGATATTTGAATTAAATTGGTAATTATTTTATGTGAATTATTTGACTTATTTAAATTGTTTCATTATTGGGTGCTATTTTCTTTAATTGTTAATTGTATTGTTTTAATTGTAATTCACTAGTTTTAATGAGATTTAGATTATTATAATTCTTGTAATGTTAAAAATTAGGTTAGTATATTTAAGTTACGGTTATAACTTTGGATTACAATTTACGTATAGGTAGCCGACGTATACTATAACTTAGGCTGCTCTATGGGCTGACTGGAATTTTCATTAGGGCTTTGGCTCTAATATTACAAGGATTAGGGTTTTGTTGTTAAGCCTATAAATGCACCATTATGCTTTAGCCTAGGGTTTACGAGCATAACACATATCACAGAAATGTAAAGTAAATTCTGTAAAATAGAGGGGGTTGAGGGAACAGAGTACTGTAAGGGTTGTCAAGGAGGAAACCAGAGAGGACCAAGGAAGGGTTGTGGTGGATTATCCCGGAGCACTAGGAGGTTTTACAGTAGTTCGTGTTGTCGGAACAGTGGACACGACGCCGAGATTTCATAACTGAAATCACAGGCAAGTTCTTTTCTTCCTCTTTCCCGTTGGCTCGTGTTCTGTGCACCTAGATAGTCTCTAGGGTTTAATTAATCAGTAACTGGGATTTACATGTTTATAATATGCTATATTGATGATATGTAAGTGTTGAATTAAATTCTGTTACAGTTTGTGCATGTTTAGTTCAGTTCGTTTCTTTAAGCATGCAAAATTGGTATTGTTGTAGTTACTGTAATTGCTTTTAATCACTGTAAACAAAGTATGGGGATGATACTAGGATTAGATAAGACTCCTAAGTTCAGTATAGAAGAGGAATAGAGGGGTTGGAATGGCCGGAGATGGAGTAGACTGGCTGAAACGGAGCGTAATTGAGCAGGAGGCTCTTAGAGGAGGTGGAAGCCGGCTCCAAGGTGTTTAGGAGCCGGCTCCAGGCACTTAGAGCCTGCTCCAAAAGTCATGGAGCAGGCCCTTTCTCATTTTTTATTGCTTTTCTGTTGTTTTTACACACTGTTGGTACTGTTTGAGCATGCGAATTGTTCTAATGGTTCTGGGATTTCACAGAGGAATTAGGAAGTTGATTTTGGGTGGTATTAAGATCTTAAATGGATTAAAGTTGACCTCTAAGTCAATGGGGCAAACAATATAAAATTAATGAACTATCTATACTATTAACGGATGGAAGACAGATTAAAGATTAATTGCTTAACTAAATTTTAGCAATTTAACGGGATTTAGGATGTTTATAAAACTTATTTTAAATGCATGCTAGGGTCATTTATTTATCAAATTTTATCTATGCATACCTTGGATGTTAATGGTTGAAATACTAAATTCTTTTCTGCAATACATGGATTTAAGCTTGAGATTTTAATTGCCGTAATATTAAGCACTACTCTACAATTATTGGGATTATGGTTTGGACTAAAATTGCTGAACTGATACTTAGGTTCTGTCAATTTTATGGATGTTGGCCTGGAGTTAATTGAAGAATTAATTATATATTTTTTTGTCAATTACCTGGATGGATGCTGGATTTTAAATTGGCAAACAATTAAACTTGGTCTCGTTAATTATATGGATTTTATCGTGGATTATTAGTTGATGAATTGTTTAAATTATGTATTTATCAACTATGTGGATTAAGTGGACTTTATTTGATGTACTGCTTAAAATGTTGCATCATTTACAGATCATTTGCATGGTATGTACCAGTATGGGACGGTGGCATATGGAGGGACGGATTAAGTCACAACGCTAATCCCCACCCATTCATACATATGGAATGGATTAACTAAAACAGTTAAATCCTATATGGTTTCATGTTCTGTCAACTAAAACAGTTGAACGACATATTGGATGGTTGTTTATATTTTTGTAATAGGAAGGCTAGG